CGTTGATTAAAGGCACAAAAAATGTAAATTTTCAGTTACCACGGACTCTTAAGCTAAGGATATAACTAATCATTGGCGGCCATTTTCTCTCTAATTTTACCTCCGAAAACAAGTGACACCCACCTCCTTCTTTCGCAAATATCTTGACTTGTATTCAAGATAAATGGATATTTTTTTCATTCAAATAAAGACATGTAAACAAGCTTTAAGATGAAACCAAAAACTCTACATGCCCAAAAATTGACGAGAGCCTGATTCCACCACGCTGCCTCACATTTATTGTTTTACTTCATGGTCTTCATAGCTCAATGTGGCAAAAAATGTCTGACTGTAGTTTGTGCAATTTGTAATTCTGAGGTAGTGAGAGATTTGTCGTGTTGATCCCCTTTTCAGTTGCTAAATAGACTTCTTCCTTGTTCTCAATGACAGCAGCAAGACAGTCAGTCCGATGTCGCGCACAAGCTTCGCAGTGTTAAATAAACTAAATTTAACAACCCCTCTGACACCACAGGAGAAGCTATACGGGCCGACAGATGAACTGAGCAGGGCGGCCCGATTTACGACAGATACCAGACTTTAAGTGTTGTGTCAATAGTGCCGTAAAACATCTACTCAATCAATTAAAAAAAAATACTTTAAGTGTGATGCGATCAAGAAGAAGAAGAAGAAGAAGAACATTTTTTTTTCTTTCTCTCAACTTTCAGCTCCAAGTACGGGCATGTGACGAGGCTCCGACGCCGTTATGCGCAGAGCCGGACAACTTTGTGTTCATCACTGTGAACCGCAACAATAACTCCCCGTACTTCGTGGCCAGCTCCACCACTGGAGCCTTCCCCTACGTCCGGCAGCTGACCAACGCCCCGTCCCAGGGAGACATTGTGCTGGTGGCTGCAGCCAGGGACGACGATCCATCGGTACCCACTGTGGTTTTGTTTGTGTTTTTGTTTTTTGTTTTTTGTTTTTGTTTTATTTTTTTATCATGTTGTCAGTGCGTGTGTGGGTGAGTGTGTGGGTGTGTGGGGGTGTGGGGGATGGTTGTGTCAGTGTGTGTGTGTGTGTGTGTGTGTGTGTGTGTGTGTGTGTGTGTGTGTGTGTGAATGTGTGCGTTTTCGTTTGTTTGTGTGTGGTATGTTATACGATCTTGAGTAGACGTTTTGCTTCAGCTCCATCAAGGTCACGCGGACTGATGTGGTAAATAGATCTAGATCTAGTTATATTTTCGTTTTGCGTTGCGTTAGTCACAGAGATTACAGTACTTAAATGTAACCAAAAAAAAAAATCCTTACAAAACAAAACATTGATAAAGGAAGCTATCATGTATCACACAAAAATGTAAACAAACCGTTTACGAACCCCGTTCTCTACTCTTACGCTGAGCCAAGAGAGAGAGAGAGAGAGAGAGAGAGA